CCAAAAGTCAAAATTCACAAACAACTCACATTTCAATATGAAAATACCCAAATTTTGATATCTACATTCAAGACTACTTAAATTAAGTACGTAAAAACTAAAAATTGGAGGCAGGTGAAAGGGTGCTAACTGCTTTTCACTTTTTCTAATACACAAAAATACTTATTTTATCAAACACTATAAGTCTATAACCTTTTACTTGTGCAGAAGCACTTTTTTCTCAAAACACTACCAACTTTTACTATTAAGTATTTTCTCCGAAATCACTTTAAAATCACTTTTTTGAAATAGAAGCTATCGTAAACACTCTCTAAATTTAATAAAATTCAACATAAATTCGTTTCCGAAAGATATACAGTGCGTAGTGTAAAAGAGAGCATGTCTGCATAATACATTGAGTCTATGACAGTTCACTTGGCCGTTCATCTTTGTTGAGATCCATGCGAAAGTTTGACAGTTTAGCTTGTGTTAAAATCCAGCTATGAGCCTATAATTAGACTAATAAGGATGTTTTTACTTGGACTGTAATTTGTTGGTCTGGTCTGGTCTGATCTGGTCTGATCTGATTTCTTTGTATTTTTATAACTATCTAAGTTTGATCTGGTCTGGGACGAATTACAGTCCAAGTAAAAACATCCTAACTCCCAATTGGGCTATTGGTAATAAGAAAACCAGTCTAATTGCAAAGACCTGGCAATCAGATAGTCTAGCTCTATGCTAGAAGGGTGAAGTCATCAAGACCCAAAGCCCTGTTGGTTCTGTTTTTAGTTAATGAAATTCCTCATTTGGTTTCACATGGAAAGTAACAAGGAGCCGTTTTCATGCCTTTTTGCCAGGAATTTAACCCCGCTCGCAATCCTGAAGGTCAAAACAAATATTGAATCTTGCATGGGCAAATTAGAGTGAAACAATCAGGCATTGGCATTTGTACTTCCAGTTTTACAAAAATTGAGCGTCAGGTTGCAACATGTACAAAAAGATTCCACCTGCAACTGAAACATTAAGCGACTCGTAGTCTCCGCCCATAGGAATACTAACTAGCTCACATACTTCCCTTGATTCCTCTGAGAGACCTCCTCCTTCACTACCCAAAACCAAACACAGCGGCTGATCCGCTAAAGAGTCAGCAAATCCTTGGTATAGGCGGGTGACCATCTTTGATTTTCCATCTTTTGCAGGATGGCCAGCTAACATTTTCATATTGAATTTGTCAGAAAGTTTCTTCAATAGCTTCCAGCCACCAGAAACTAAAGGAAGCTGAAAGCAAGCTCCTCTGCTAGCACGGAGTGCTTTCTCATTGAATGGATCACAGCACCCAGGCAATAGAAACACACCATTCTGTTGAGAAAGGTAAGCAGAGATCTAGTTTCTTATTTTTTTTCTGATACAGGCAACTCCATTAACAAAAACAAAACTTGGCAGAAATAGAAAGTTTGAAGGCCATAAACTAGAAGTAAAATGAAACAGCAGTAGGCTTCAGAAATTAGATGCAGCTCTCTGATTTGAAAATAAAGAGACAATAATACCTAATTATGTCCCTTGATGATGGGTACTACACAATTTGATCTTCAATTATAATTATTTAGAGTTTAGACTTAATTTGGTTCTGGACTAGAAAGTATTCCTTTATTCTAAACAAGATATTTTTCCCCATTTAAAGTTAGAACAACTTTATGACTCAATTTAGTATGCAGTTTGAACCCATTTGGTCCTCATGTATGCAACTATACTTCTTAATTAGAGCAAATTATGCATGAGGACGAATAGAGTCTAAATTTTACTGTTGAGGACTAAATTGTGTCCCAAAGAAAGCCGGGTGCTAGATTTAGAATTAGCTCAAAATAAAGAGTCAGTTTTTTAATTTTTTTTAAAGAACATAAAGTCAGTTTTTATTACCCATCTAAATGCCATTGCTGATCGAAGCAGCGTGCCAAGATTTCCTGGGTCCTGCAAATAGCATGTAGATAAATTATATAAATTATGAAGTGAATCATTAAGTCTACAAAGATTATACTGAAACACAATATATTGCTAGTTTGCTACAATGATGATATCTTATTACTCTCACTCTCTCAGTGCTCCAGTACATGATAAGGGACTTTTTGCGGAGCACAAAGAAATTTGACTATTTAAAAAAATATAAACAAGTCAGCACATGTGAAACAATTTTCAATTTGTTAGTTATTCAGTCTTGTTATCCTGTATCTAACCTTAGGTTTTGAATTCTAACCAAATGAACATATTTATCTTGGGACCTCTTGAGTTGGCTTCAGTTGAAGAGCTAAGACGATAACAATAAAATGTCTTGTTTTTACATACTCTAGTAGGCAATATGGAGAAACTTCATTAGGATTGTTACTCTATTGGAATCATTTGAGGGTTTTACTGGAGAACTAAAATGCCAAGCACTTAGGGTATGTTTGGGAGTTGGGTTTTGGAGGGGAGGGGATGTTTAACCACAGTTTATGGCTCTCCCTTTCATGTTTGTAAGTTAAAAAATATGGAGGGGATGGTTTTGGAGGGCTTTTGTAACCCTCCAAAACCCTTCAAATGCTCAATTTTCAAGTCCCCCAAATCGGGGGATGATGAAGGATAACTAATTAAATCACAACTTTAGCTCAATTTTAAATAAATATAATCTCAATTATTTGAATTCATCATATATGTGAAGTGATATTAATTATAATTCATCCAAAACCATTATCTTTTCAAACTTGATACTCCCAAACAAGAAGAACTGAAGAAGGGTTTCCAACCCTTTCCCTCCCCTTCCCTTCCAACGGCTAACCTTCTAAACCTTTGTCTCCCTTTCCCTTCAAACTCCCAAACATACCCATAAGGATGAAGACTAAGAACCTGAATACTATCAAGAACCAGAACTCGATGTGCAAACGGGAACCATTTACTACAATCATCCTCTGTAAACTCATCACCGACATTATGAAAACTTGAGGGGATCTTGAATAGAGCAATCATTTTGATAGAGTCAACTGATTGGACACCCGAGAGTTTTTTCATCACCATTGAGCTGACATGGACAACCTGTGTAGAACATAAATCTAGTTCTTCAGGGATTTGAGTATCATCAAGTACAAGCAAGCATTCTATTTTTATATTCCACTCTGAAATTGTTTCTTGAAATCTACATATTTCCCTGTTAGAAGTCACAACATGATGTAGTAAACACCAGCTGAATAAAATCATGCCACACAAAATGAGTAAAATAAAACAAAAGCAAAACAGGGAAAAAAGGGATGAACAATTTTTCCAGGCAGTAAACTGCAGAAGTATGAGTATATCAAATCTACATGTTTAAACAAAAAAGGAGCCTAAAATCTATTTCTTTAGCAAGAATTCCAGAAATGTGGGAAATTGGTGTGCTCGTGTGACAAATGCAAATGATATTATTATGATAGAATTCCACTGAGTTAAGCTTCATTTTCTATATGTGAGTGTGAAATTAGGGCAAGTTATGAACCTATGTAATGAAGAAGGGAAGAAATCTAAAGATGCAATCCAAGAAGTGCACAGTAGACAAACACCACTGCAACTTATTTTTCGATGGGTACTTCTTACAAACACCTTGACACTATCATTATTCAGTGAATTATGTCAAAAAGGACTTTAATGCAGTAAACTACATCAGTACAAGTGTATAACAATCAGTTCCATTTACTCCAAAATACTCCGTATATCACAAAACGAAATCTCGCATACAACTTCAGTTGGAATGACAGTAACCACAAACTCATATTTACAGAAATAATTAGCAAAAATGATTTTTACAGTCAATAAAGTTTCAAAATTTGACCAAGAAAACATACCAAATTGGAGTACGGCCAACGACAAGAACTAAGCCATGAAGCAGGCGATAAGAGGATCTTGTTCGAAGTTTCAGACAGTGCTTCACAAACGGGTTTGAAGTGCTGGAGATGGACGTCACATGCTGAGGTAAATAAATTGTCTTTTCTAAAGCCGTTGACTTGGGGGTAAAACTGCGAGGGTGATTTCGGGTTTTGAGTTGAAACGGAGATTTCTTGCTATCTGAAGTTGATGCAATGGTCGATGGTGGTAGAGGGAGATGGGTATGGAATGCGTAAAGGCGCATTGCATCCTGGATTGAAACTCGAAACTTCGTGGAGGGGACAAGGGTCAGGCCGTCAGGGGATATCTTGTGGTACGAGTATATGCAGGAATTCAAAATAAATTTAAACTATAAATAATACCCCCTCCCTTTCTCAAACACCTCCACATTTTGACTTCACACAGATTAATAAAATAAATTTAACTTTACTGTAGAGTGCACCGTTTGACACTGTTTAGACATTGTTTGGTACTGTTTGGCACTGTTTTGCACTGTTTTGGTGTAGATAATTTGCCAAATAAGAAAATGGGAATAAGTGTGAAGTTAATTTCGAGACTTCCCGAAAAGGAAAATGAGAAGTTGTTTAAGAACCGGAGGGAGTATGAAGCCAAAATAATTCAAACACTCCAAAATTTAAAAGGATATAAGATAAAAACGTCACATATGTAATATAGTTATCTGAAACTTATATAAAAATATATGTTAACATAATAAGTATATGATTTTTTCTTTCATAAATGTAAATTTATGGTGTTAAATAAATAATTTAAATATATTTAGCATTTCCGGATTCTTAGTTTGCTAAAAATGGATTTTCTATTTTTTGTTTTTGATAATCCAGGTGTCGGGGCTTACGCTCCCATAATCCTGGAGTCTATGAACTACCCTCCAAAGCCCCTAGACAGTTAAATCCGGATCTGATCACAGTCAGCCTCGTCAGTGCTGACTCCAAAGGACGAATCCAGCAGGACTTACATCATCTTTCAGGTTGCTCCTCCCACCACACGAACCTGCTACCTTCATTACCATCCTCTCCCTTCTCAGGCGCTGAGCAACTCCGTGAAGGTAGGAAGAATCATTGGGAGCAAGACCTCCCTCATTCCCCCTTGGTGGATGGTCATCCATTGGACTACACTCACCTTCCCCCCCCCCCCCCCCCCCCAAAAAAAAAAAACAAAAGCTTTTGTGTAAACAGATCTTTCTAATTTTTATCATTAATTTCTTATTCGTGATTGAGGTGAATTTGTTAAAGTGCTTGTTCCATTAAAGTTTGAGATTTTTTGAGTATGTAGTTGTTGACTTCATATATTGCCAAGATGGTGGTAGTTTTGTATAAATTTGCAAAATAAATCTGCCAACTTTATGGCAGTTTTCAAAATTCATTTTCATGAGAGATTTGTAATTAATTCCAAAGCTAAATCTGTCAACTTAATGGCAGATGTATGGTGCCAGAGTTGAGATGACGGTGGCGGCGCTCTTGATTGAAGTGGTGGCCCCGAAATTGACACCAGTGACAATTTTGATAAAGGCGGTGATGGTGACCAAAGTGGCAACGCCGAGTTGCCGACTATGACTGATAGAGTATATCTAGAGAGAAGTGAGAGCTAGAGAGAGAAGTGCAATAATATGCTTCAATAGAATGATTTTGTAACCCCTATAACTACTCCCAAGGGGAGTATTTATTGAGAAAATACGGGCTGGGCTCCCAGGCCTTGGGCTTGGGAGGCCCATTTACAACTGGACCGCTACTGGGCCGAATACAAAGCCACTAATGGGCTGTACAAATGAGTAAGTGTAAAATCCGGTTCTGGGAGGTCTTCGTGGCCGACGAGGGCGTGGCCGACGAGGGCACGGCCGACGAGGGCACAGCCGACGAGGGCACCCGGGTTCCTTAGGCTCAGGACCATAATCTGAGTTGGCCCCTTTTCGGCCGACGGGGGCGTCTTGGCCGACGAGGGCGCCACTCTGTGTCTTGTGCTTTCTGTTCTTTCGAATATGTGGGTTCGGGGGCTCAGACCCATATACTCCATCAGGAGTCCCCCACTCTCTAAGCTGAGACGTAGACGAAGTGAAGGAGAGTAGATTCCCGTGCTTTAGTGCTTTTGGCCGATGCGGGCATTCCCAGACCGTCAGCTGCTGCGGCGTTGATGTTGTTTCCATTTTGGTGATCTTGTTCTGTGCTTTGGCCGTTATCTGCTCCTTGTTGTGGGCGGGGAGGCCGTTGTTTCCTTGATGTGTTCGTTTGGGGACGACAAGTGTCCTACTTCAATGGTGGCCGTTGAAGGCACGCTTTCCCTTTCCTGGACATTGATGGTTGAAGTTTATGTTTGGGCCGATGAGGCCACTGAGGTTGAACCATGCTTTTGAAGACGATGGCGTCCTTTCCTTTGGGTGGCCGGTGAGGGTGTTTGCGCACTCCTTTTGGCCGTCGCTGGTTGGCCTTCGTGTTCTTGGCCGAAGAGCCCATCATGATTAACTGTTGGCGGAGGACGATGAGTGTCCTTGCCTTCAGTGGCTTGTTGGCCGTTGTTGATGATGTTATGTGCCTCTGGCCGATGAGGCGCCATTGTGATGCGTGGACGATGTGGTCATGCTTTGTGGTTACATTCATGTTCTTTGTATTGTTCCTTTTTGTTTTGTTGAGGCCGGTGTAGTCCCCCAGTCCCCCACTGCTTCAGGCCGAAGAGTGTGAGGGGTGAAGGAGTAGCTTGGGTCCCTGGCCGAAGCGGCCTCTCCGTAGACCCCCTGAATCCAACCCTCATGGCGATTTTCTGGCCAAGGTAACCCTGTGGGAGAACCCTTGTGCGCAGATCGCTTGTAGAGAGTTATCATCAAGGGTCATTACGAGGAGCCGATGACTGTGGGTTCTTTGTTCCTTTGGTTTTGTGGCCGTTACGGGCGTTCATTACGTTACTGGCCGTTGCCGTTTCCTTATTGTTGGCGTTTGTGAACCTGGCAAGCAAATGGGACGTTGTGGACGCTTGCTGGCATTTGTAAAGCCGGTAAGTGTGTGGGCCGTAGAGTCTGATCCGGCATTGGGCTCTTGATATGTAGCTTGGCCCGTTGGTGACGTGGTGGCCTCCCATTGGTGGCCGTTGATGTGGCCATTGGGAGGGTGCCACGTGTAGTGACCGTTGGGTGGGGGGTTCTATAAATACCCCTCCCCCTCCGACGAGAAAACGTATTTGCATTCTGAATTGTCGAAGTGCTGGCCAATTTTCTAGAGAGATAAACTCCCAAGCTTGTTCTTCGTGTTCTTCGTGTTCAAGGTTAGTGTTCATCGCAATCTTTCTCACTTTTCATACTTTGCTTCCTAGGCTAGTGATCTAGTGTTAGGCGTTTGAACACCCTTAGATCCTAAGTTAATCTCCTTAGGCCCGTAGTAGTAGTTATGAAGAGCTTGAACGAAGACTACTACCCCTACGACGACCAGCCCTCCACGAGGTCACTTGACTATGAGGTGCTCGAGGAGTTTGAGGAGGAGATACAACACTTGAGTCCCTACAAATTCGGAGAGCCGGTGGACGACGAAGTCGAGGACAAGGAGTCCGCCTCGTCTTCAAAAGGTGAGGACGCAGGTGCGTCCCGAGTGGTGGACGGGGCGTCCACTTCCGCTGTCATTCCCTGCCCGAGGCCGGTGTCTGCCGTGAAGGGAGCAGATAAGCCGAAAAGAGTGAGGAGGCCGAAGAGTGGGCCTGGCGTCTCCTATTTGGACCTCACCAACATCTTCCTGATCAAGCCGGAGAGCAGCGCGGCCGACTACCTTGTTGCCCAGATGTACGTGGGGCCGTACGGGCGGGTTAGGGCACCCAGGCCGACGGACCATGTTCTTCTTCCGCCACCGAGATACTTTGGAGTATACTCGATGAGTTTTGCCAAGGGGCTGAGGTTCCCCCTTCACCCCTTCATCTCTGAATACCTGGATATGGTAGGGCTCCCTCCGGCCTTGCTGACGCCGAACAGCTATTCTTTGATGGTGGGGTTTTTGCTCCGCTGTGAGGAGTTGGGCTACAGGCCGACGACGGCCCTTTTCATGAATCTGTATCAGATCGGCCGAGGAAGCCACAAAAACTGTGCGGTCTATGCTACTCTTCAACAGCTGCCGAAGAAGAGGAGCTTCACGGACTTGTCTACGTCCATTCATGGGTGGAAGAGCAAGTTCGTTTTTATGTCCCTTGGTGAGAGTGGCACCGAGTTTCCCTCTCTCGGCCATACCGGGAGGTTTAATCTGCATGACCCGCCGAAGAGCTCTATTTTGGACGCTCAGGTGGAGGCTTTCTTGGAAGGGGGGCCGAGGAGCGTGAAGGATTACATCACTGAATATAAGATGACCGCCTTCGGCTTCTTGAGATACCATGTGTATGGCGATAAGGAGGATGACCTCCAACTCTGGCCGAGGATGACCACCACCTTTGAAGAGGCCGACGGCCCGGATTTGGGCATTCCTGCTGAGGCCGATGGTAATTATTTCTTCGACTTTCTGTCTTTATGCTTTGTTCTTTTGCCTTACTAATCTGTTGTGTTTTTCCTTTGTAGATTTTGTCATGGACCGTCGCTCCATCATGGCTATAGCAAAGGCCAAGGCGGCCGAGGAGTTGGCCGCAAAGGCGGCCGAGACGGCCAGACGTGCCGCGGCCGAGGGAGGTGGGGCTACTGCTGGTGCGGCCCCAAAGCCTGCCCAATCGAAGAAGAAGAGGCCGGCCACTGACGGCCAGAAAAAATTGACTGAAGTCGGCCTGAACGTCGCCAAGAAGACGAAGAGGGCACCGTCTCCTTCCCCGGCTACCGAGGCCGGTACTCTGACTGTCCCGAGTGTGGACGATAGTGGTCCCCTCGTGGACCTTACTGCTGCTCCGAGTGATGCCGCCCAATCGCTCCCTATCGTCCAAGAGCCACGGACGAGGAGGGCTGGCAAGGAGGTCGCCGCTGCCACCTACCAGAAGGTGGTGGAATACCCCGTCGGCGGGGGTGTGTTTGACGATGCCGTCCTCGGCCACGATGTGCTGGAACAGGCCATGCCGGCCAAAGACCGGGCTTACCTCAAGAAGCTAGGGGACGTGAAGGTGTACGAGGGTGGCATGGACCTCCTCGTCCAAGTAAGTTCTCTGCCTTGTAATGTGTAATTTTCTCGTCGTCCGTGTAGAGTTAGTTGTCTGAGTCTTTGTTTGCCCTCTCTTTTTTTGCAGAGTGCCTTTATGCTCATGGAGAGCCATAAGAGGCAGTACCGGGAGATAGCTCGTTTGAAGGAGCTGGAGCAGAAGGCTGCCTCGGCCGACGAAGCGGTAGCTTGCCTGGATCGGCTCCGGGAGGATGCCAAGGTTTTGCAGCAAAGGGCCGATGAAGCCGCTGCAGCCAGGGACGATGCCCTGGCCAAGCTCGAGGAGACCCAAAGGGCGCTGGAGGCCGAGCGGCGCAAGAACGAGGAAGCCGTAAAGGCGAGAGCTGAGGCCGAGGCTGCCGCTGTGCAGGCTGCTGATAAGGTCGTAGAGCAGTTCCTGGCTGAAGGGTGGAAGGCCGATGAGAGGCTCCCCTGGTGCTATGAAGTGGTGGCCGTCAGGCTTGAAAATTGGGGGATGAACTCCCCCGCCGGCCAGGAGTATTTCAGTAGGGAGATGGCCGTCTATTATAACATGGGCCAGGAGCGGATGCAGAGGCTCCTATGTCGGCGGCTGTCTCGTGCTCTGAAGGCCATGAATTACACGTCCGGGTGGGCTAGACGGAACCTGAAGCTGCCAAAGCTGATGAAGGATCCAGAAGAGCAAGCCAAGCTTCCTCTGTCGGAGCGGGAGTCCCCCATTGAGAGCTCCGGCCTCGGCGAGCCGGATTATACAGAGTTCGATTTCCTGGACGATGCCACCAGTGCTGCAGCCGCCGCCGGCCAAGAGACTGAGGCCGAGGAGGGAGCCGACGAGGTCGAAGAGCCAGCCGCGGATGGAGGTGCCCAAGAGGCTTGATCGGCTACTCCCTGCTCCTTTGTAATTAGCTTTTCATTTTTTTGCCAAACTGATGTAACGGCCGAAGCGCCCCCAATTGTAATGAACTGACTATGAATGAAAAAAAAATTCCGTCCTGCTCGGCTTTGAATTCCTTGTATGCTTGTTTGCCTTTTGTCATTTCAATTCTGAAATTTGTCTA